GCGTTGCACCTCTCAGCTCTTTTTGTAACTTCATGAGTTGCGCTGCTGCTGCCACAGCTGGGTTGAAGACGCATTTAACCTTCCAACAAAAGTGATCTTAAGTTAAATAACATACACCATTGCATCTCGGCATTATTTTAATGTGTCTACACCCTACATCCTGTGCCTCTGACACTTTATCCCACCCCATTTAGAGCTTTCTTGGATTTCTTTGAATATTCCTTGAAGAAAAACAGAAAAACAAAACAGCTCTTATAACCTTTTTGAGATGTCAGTCATCAAAACTAAATTAAGCACGAGCCTACAAACTTAAATTGCTCTCACTTGGTAAAAATGGTAAATGGCCTGTACTTGTATAGCGCTTTACATGGTCCCTAAGGACCCCAAAGCGCTTTACACATTCAGTCATCCACCCATTCACACACACATTCACACATTGCATCACGTGGTTGTACAGTAAAGCGATTCCTTTTATGGTCACGTCTGTTAGGCTGTTTTGTTTTGTTCCCGCCTCACCCTGTTAAACTACCTTTAAGGCCATGTGTGAGTCAGTGAGGCCGAAGCTGCTTTGTAGTTGAGCCTTAAACTTAGCTAACAGTGCTAGCTATAGGTGTCCACCTATGCTTGTTTTCACTGTAAAGGAATTAACACTGGATAAGAGTCTGTCTTCTCCCAGCCAGGATGCTCCTCATTGCTTTGTTGTGCAACCTGTTGCTCACTGCCGTGGGCCAGCAGGAGGAAAGCAAGTGGGTCAACCCTTACGACATGACCATGTATGATGCTACGACCAAAAGGATGAGAAAGCCTACTGAGGTTGGGAGATTTTTACTCTGAGTATTGTGAAGATGTTGTGTTGTCCAGCTCAGACACTTAGTTTGTATGTGTGTTTGCAACGCAGCCAGCAAGCTGTGACAATCTGGGCACTGAAAGACAAGAGTACAATCAGGACTCCAGCCAGACTGAGCCATCGCCCTGCAACAAACAAGTGGAGGAGTTAGAGGGACAGGTTGGTGTTTAGAGGTTTTAAATAGGAAAAACTATCTTCAAATTGTCTAATTATACGCCTCCAGGCTTATCGCTTTGTTCTAACTGGTACACAAAACATGAACGTCAACCGTGTCTAAAAAGGCCATTTAAGTAAGGTGAACTCAATGTCATGTACAACAAACCGGTTTTACATGTTTTGAGCTGTAGTCTGTTAGAACAGTGTTTCCCAACCCTTTAGTGCCACGTCACATAGAAAAATCACAACACCAAATAAAAATGTCACAAAAGTTCATTTCTTACAAGATATATTTAAAATCTACTCTTAAGCTACATAGTGTGAAACCTGTGCCTGTTTAGTTGAACACAAAGCTGATATTCTTGCAGGAGTTGAAGGAAGACACACGAAGATCTTCCTCGACAGTCCTGAGTCTGTGTTTTGGTTTTTTCTTGTCTTGATAGCAATCATGTTTATAAAACCCATAGATGGGTTGTGGAGGAAGGAAGCAGAGCTGAAATAACTTTGTTTGCCAGAAAGGGAAAATAGTCTGTGTTCTTGTTTTGAAGTCTTGGGTGTTTTGTCTAGAAATGGCATTTACGTTTACTTGGAACCTTGGCACTGTTTGACAGTTTTTCAGCAGCAGGCATAGTGGAATTGGCTTGGTTGGTTCCCCGGTGAATCCAATGGCAAGATGAGTTTCATTGTATTATCTTGAGCTCTCCTTTTGTTTTTTTCTGACCACTGCTCATGCCTTCAGGGCCTTCATTTGAGTCTTCTCCAGGACTCAGGTCAGATTCACTACTTTTTTTATTTTCAGATATTTATCCATCGCTATTACCTGCGGCCCTTCTTCTGTTTTACTGGCGGTTGGCAACCCTCTTAATTTGTGCAAGATGTTGCACTGCCCTCTAGTGGAAGAGAATGGAAATTTTCTGCCTATTACTACATGCTGCTCCCTTACCCATCTGGTGAAATTGGATAATCTTCCATGGCACACCTGATGATTTCTCATGGCATACTTCTGTGGGGCTGCACAGTGGTTTGGAAATGCTGTGCTATAACATCATCTGTGGGCAGACAGTGGTTAGCAACAAGACTAGGCTGAGATGTTTAAATGATGGTGAAGTGTTATTACCGGGCTCAAAGTGTATCGAGAAGATATCGTTCAGATCCTTACACCACCAACCAGTCTTAGAAGAGAACCTGGGGTCTTTCCCATAATCCCAGAAGCTTTGACTGGGAAATAGGAACTTATTCAGGACAGGCACTTCAGATATTCTGCCTTGCCTTCATTCAGATTGAAGATCATAAGAAGACGATCGAGCGCATCTCACAGCAGCCAACATGCAGCCCAGTGTTCAAGAGATTTCTTAGCAGACTGTTGAAGGCAATACAAAGTGCTGGTGTGGTAGGTGGTCATCTCATGTTTTATGTTGAATTATGAGATTTCAGTCGAGCATATTGTGCTATCATATTTACTCTCTCGTTTAATAATTTTACAAGTGTGGTGGAAAAAAATGTGCAATTTAAGACACTTCTCCCATTTCTCTCCAGCCCAGTGACTCCACAGATGTCTTTTATGATGCCAAACTCAAAATGTCCAAACAAGCCATGGAGGAGATCCAGGCACATCTGGAGAGTGAAGACAGCTGTAGACCAGGCGTCCTGGACAATGCCATCAGTCAGATTCTTGTGGACGTTAAACCGCATGATTATGGGCCCAGGAAGTGGCCATTTGAAGACACCTTTGGGGTGGAGCTGCATACATTATTGAAAGTAATCTCAGTCTTTATTACTGTGACTCCACTTTCTCTGGTTTGAGGCCAACTCCCCCCAAATCTCTTGTCTAGTGTTGTCTCCATGAACAAGAAGGAGAGCTGTCTGTTGATTTCATGTACACTCAGTATGGTTTCATGAGAAGTTGTCAGTGCAGATATAAAAACATGTCTTTTTTTTTTAAACCAAATGTAGCTTTTACCTTTGACCCCCTTCTGTTTTGACTTTTCTTAATGTGTCTGCTGTGTTTTAATGGTTTCTATTTTCTGTAACCACTTAAACTGTTCTCTGCTCCGTTCTCCAGATCGTGTTATTTATCCTGGTTATACTAGTCATTATCATGCTCCAACTGTGGACAAAGATCTCCTGGTTTGTGCTGTTCCAACAACTGTTTGCTGTCTGCTTATTCGTCAGTGTTATCTGGAACTGGTTTTACCTGTACAAGGTAAATAGGAGCCCCTGCAGTTTTCAGGGGTTTCAGTTCAACTGCAATTCAGTGTTTTGACTGTAAAATAAGATGTTTTTAATAAATATGTATATTTTGTTCAGCTTGCCTTTGCTGAGCATCAAAGTAATATATTGAAGATGGAGAATTTCAATGCAAAATGCACTGGAGTGGAGAAAATGGATTGGATTGACAGTTTGAAAGGTATGCCACTGCCAGTGTTGAACAGACATAGCATTGGTATTCTGTGAAAACCTCCTATATCTAAAATATTAACCGGCTGAGAAAAAAACTTCTTTTTATTTTTAATTTTAGAGCGTATTCAATATAATTTTGAAATACATTTCACTGCACAGCCATGAGATGGAGAGGAATTTAACGACAAGTCCCTCTGCAGTCATTGTGCAAAATCTGAAGTCTCAGCTGTTTTAATAGTTTTAGACTCCAGCACTGCTGTTTTGGATATATTAATCATATTTAGTGCATAACGTCTGCCTAAGCTTAGGCCTGTATTTGATTTCCTGCAGAGTGGTTTAGAAGCACCTGGACTCTTCAAGATGACCCCTGTAAGAGATACTATGAAGTTCTTATAGTTGACCCTCTTTTGTTGGTATCACCAATCAAGGTAAGTCACTCTGTTCAAGTTATTGAGGTCTTGCAGACACATCACTACTAAACACATGATTTAAATTTGTCTACCATTCTGGACGTGACAAACATGCTGATAGTGTAGGAGTTTGTGAATCAGTTGCCACACAGACCTGGAGACTTGCTCACGACCATGCAACAACCACTAGTTGTGAGATAAAAAGTAAAAGTTGTGCCTTTTGAAACATCTTAACTGCAGCACTGAAGCACAACTTTTACTCTGAAGGCAAACCATCACTTTTTCAAGTTGTGCAACTTCTCGGCTATTAGTTAGCAAGTATTTACAGACAGATGTGAAAACTTACAGCCACTGTGGCAACCGGCTGAAAACCAAAGTTGTCACAAGGAGGTCTGTGGTACAGCGCCTTCTTTGCACCGATTTCATCCAGCGACCAGTTGGTGAATAACCATTCTTCCCTACAAACCAATGTTTAAATCACATCCGATATGGCTGAAACCTCATTGCTTTGCTTTCTATTAAGCTGACACATACATTTGCCACTTTTCTACCTTTTTCTAACTGCTATATGTTTTTCTATGCAAAGTCTTCCTAAACTGTGTTCCTTTGTATGAGTTTGGACTTTCTATATGTATGTAGTTTTATAACCTGGACATGCTTCTCTGTTTAGGCAATCTTATTTACCATCACAACCTTCATCACAGAGCCACTGAAGTACTTCGGTCAGGGATTCAGTGAATTTCTTCGAGTGCTCCTCAAAGATCTTCCGGTTACCCTGCAGATCCCAGTCCTGCTCACTACCATGCCTGCTACTGTGGTAAAACCTGTCACCTTATTCACATTATAGAGCTTTCTATAGATGGATAAGATTAATAGAACAGGTCTCTGTCCAGAAGAGCGCAGTCCTAGGAACAGAAAAGATGCTGCACAGGACCTTCAAGCTCTAAGGCCTTTTTTATGCATATCTTCTTCAGGTGATTGTGTATGCAAGTGTGCAAGCAGCCTTCCAGAATGGCATCATGGCACTTTTACGCGCCCACAAAGGGACCCACCACCACCAGAGCTGAACAGATCACCAAGATGTGCTACTCGACTAGCCAAAACGTTGATGATCTCAGACCTGAGCTCCCAGAAGCGCAGAGTGTCGATCAGGTGCCCCTGACCCCCCCCCCCCCCCCCCCCCCCCCCCCACCCCCCCCCCCCCGCCCCCCCCCCCCCCCCCCCCCCCCCCCCCCCCCCCCCCCCCCCCCCCCCCCCCCCCCCCCCCCCCCCCCCCCCCACACACACACTTTTTAAAATAATTTTTGTTTAGATTCATCCAATCAACTTAAATATCAAATTAGACACACAATAGTGGGTTTTGGTGGAGACTAATGTCCTTATTATTTAATGCTTCTGCTGAGATGAGGGTAAATATTCATGTGCAACATAAATTGGTATCTTAATGTTTAATGAAAACTTTTTATTGATATTTTTGTCTTTTGGGGTTTTTTTCTTTGTTTTTGTTTGTTTTGATACCTGCTGATCTCGTCTTAGTTTCTTTAATGCATTATTGGCTCTACATTATCATTACTGTTCGTTTCTTAGCTTGCACCTACCCACTCGAACTCTGTGCTCCTCCAGTCAGATGCCTCTATTCGTTTCACGCTCCCAGTGCATATCTACAGGTGACAGGGTTTTTTCCATTGCCGAGACTCTGGAACAGTCTTCCCTCTTTTATAAAATCCTCTTCATCCTTGGAAGTCTTCAAATCGAATCTGAAGACCAACCTATGTTCCAAGGCTTTCAGATCTCCCACCTTTATTCTGTTTCAGCTTCTCTGGTCTTTTATCTCGTTGGATGATGTTTGCATGTGTAGACACGTATACATGTATTTTATGTTCACATGTGTGTACTTGTGTGTGAATGTGTACATATTATTATTATTATCATTTTATTTTATTTTTTATTTTTTTTATTTTTTACAAAAATGTATGGATGTCACAATGTTTCTGTTTTCATCTTATCTGTTTTAATTCTTTTTATCATATTCCTCTGTTCAGCACTTTGGCCGACACTTGATGTCTTTTAAATGTGCTATGTGAATAAAGATGACTTGACTTGACTTTCTGCTTTATATATGCTGGATTTCTGTTGCTACCACAACATGGACATCTGTGCAAGAACAGTGGATTTTAACCATAGTGAGCTTGATGGAGCTCGCTCAGTATAAAAAGCAATGAAGTGGCTGAAATCCAGCGCATGTCATCGACTGTATCTCCACGTCATCATTTCATTTTTGTCATTTGAGGACGATGATTTACAGTTTTCCCTCCTGTCTGCTGGATGCAAGCAGCTTCAGGAGCTCACAGGCGTTCCAGCTCTGATCTGTGGAAGTCATATTTGATATCAGGAAGTTGACTTTGTTGCTCTGTGTTCATCAGTGGACAAATAAAGTTTTGTCACATCCGTCATGTTTCTTTGTCCAACGTGAGGTTTTGGAACAGAAATTAAACACGGTCCCTGCGTTTCACATTTAACACACTGTAGCTGTCATCTTAGGTGGACGCCAAGCAGCAGCAGATCGTATCAGGAATGTGCTGGTTTCTGTTTAACATAGGACCCGTCTTCCTCCGACCTCTTAGGATATGCTGCATGCATCTGTGAGACTTGGATGTCAAACACAAGGCCTGGCAAAGACACTGTTCCGGCCACTAGATGGCTTTGGGAAAATGTGAAGGATGGCATAAAAATTTGGAGTTTAAAATATTTGTTAATTTAGGTTTTATAGCTTCTCCTTCTGATAAAGACTTCCCCCGTGGCTATTAATACTATATCAGTTAATTCAATTAAATTACAAAGTACCCTGTTTTTTCACTATTGATCATAGAAACAAAAATGGCATCTTGTCTGAATTAACCAACTTTTTCATGTTTAATTACAGGAACATCTGGGCACTGAGCTATCAGGGTTTTTTCAGTAATTTCACACATTTCTTCTATTTTGAGCCCAAAGAATCACGCTGAAATATTTATTTCATGTACTACAGCACCGTTTCTGTATCATGAGGAAAACCTGAGATGTACCATTGAAACATCTCAGTGGTTAAATGTGTAGTTAAACTTCATTTCATTGACTGAAAGGGCAGTTTGATTGGTGAATTGTATGTTGCGTCCAATGTAAAATGAGTTTGACATCCCTGCTTTATAGTATCATGTGTGATGACCTGACCTACAGACTCTTGCCTGTGAAATATAGAAGTACCTTATGTCTTCTGTGGAGTTTGTTCCTATATCAGTAACTGCTCCAGGTTTTAATCAGTTCAAAGGTTTTACACTGACGCACTGATTTTCACGCACACAGCAACGTTTCATTATTATTTTGTTTTTTCTATTTAAATCTAGTTTCTTAACCACATTATGTTTCGGGCCTTTCCGTGAGCACTCGTTCACTCGTAGATTGCGCACCTGTGCCGCCTCAAACCCATTTCCTGATTGGCTGACTGAAAGCGTCGTGGTCTCGCGGGGCACACGCGCAGCAGAGCAGAGTTGTCTCTGACTCTCTGCCGGAGCTGTCCGGCTTACGTTTAATAATCTCCCTTCAGTCATTTGGCTTTTCCCCACCTTGCTTTGCAAAAATGGAGTTATTTTCTCGCTATCTGGATAGAAGCAATTCGGTCAGGTAAGCTTTTTATGTTTAAATAAGTTGCGTTCAAATATAGTTTTGTTACCTCATCATTCTGAAATGCCGCATGTTAAAATGTAACAACGTTAAAAACAACCGCGAAAGTCATCAGGAAGTTTTATGACGTGATCAGGGCTGGATTTAACGTTGCACTTTGTAACTTGGAGACTTGGATTTGTGTTGTTTATAGTTGACAAACAATTGGGGGAAATGGTGAAAGTACATTTACTGAGCTAACCTTGAACTTCGTACACGGATCTCTCCGTGTGATTGATTACCAGTCTGGTACACCGCAACAACAAGAGCTGATAAAATAACTGTCTTTCTTTTTAACTTTCACTTCTGCATTTTCAGCCTTCTGGCTGCTTTCTTCTGCCTTCGTAGAGAAACTCCTCTCACCATCTGTTCATTTCCACATGTTTTAACCGTGTAGCCCACAGCACTGCGATCTGTTTCTGTCATCTGCATGATGGTTGTTGTCTTACAGCTCTGTCATAACTCACGACATTATGAAAGAGGAGAACCTCAGAGATGACCTGAGGTATTATTTCATGAGCCCCTGTGAGAAGTACAGAGCCCGAAGACACATTCCCTGGAAAATGGGAGTCCAGATCCTGAAAATCATCATGGTCACCACACAAGTATGTGCACTGGGGTTTATTGTATGTTGGGAAAGACCAGGAAAGAGGCAGCACTCAGAAGGAGCTTCCTGGAACTGCAATCTGTAATCGAAGGCATGCAGCCAAGAGCAGTGTGTATATACATGCTTACACTGAGGGTCCTGCTTAAAATGGGAGAATAAAGGAATATTTGTGTTTGTCTTTATTTTGCTGCTAAATTTGTATTGTTTCGGAAGCACACGGCCCTAAAACAACACAAACGTCTTCAAAGCACCTCATCAGTATTTCACGTAACACTTTAAAACTACTTGTAAATGTGTAGCTGTGGGAGATTGCACAATACTCCATGTCCATAACAACTACAGTTTTGGCTAATCTCCTTTTTAAAAGGCCCAACTGACTGAGAGGTATGTCAGAGATGTAAAGCTACCATAACATGTGTTTTCCACCTCAAAAGGAATAAGATGCGTATATGTTCAACTCTCCTTTCTTGTTTTCCCCACAGCTCGTCCTGTTCGGCCTCAACAACCAGCTGGTGGTTTCCTATAAGGAAGAGAACACCATGGCGCTCAAACACCTTTTCTTAAAAGGCTACAGCGGGCTCGATGAGGACGACTACAGCGTTGCCGTCTACACAAAGCACGACGTCTATGAAAGTCTGTTTTATGTCATGGATCAGGCAAGTAACAGTGACTTTTTTACTGTAGCATTATGAAGTGTATGTAGTGTTGAGTTTTATTATAGAATATGCACATCAGGAACTCCAATCTAAAGCTCATATAAACATATCTGGTGTAATTTAAGTTTCGCATGAGTTGGAACTGCTTTATTTTTTGAATTTCTTGTTTTATCGTGTTTCACTGCGATATTCCAGTTTTCAGCTTCTTTATTGTCTCGTCACCCTGGAGTGTTTTCTGTTTTTTTTGTTTGTTTTTTTAAATTTTCCTAACATTCCCTGTTGTGTACAGTACAGTCAGCTGGGCCAGCTCTCCGTGGGCCCGATCAGTTACGCAGAGGATGAAAATGGCAAGTTGCTGCCCCTCACCATATGTAAAGAGTACTATAGGAGGGGCAGCGTGGAGCCTTCAGATGAGATCTATGACATCGATGCTCAGCTGGAGACGGGTGAGAGGGAAAATTTGCATGTCAGTTTGCTGTTATACGCGGCGAAGTTGGTGTCAGATTTGCCATTTAGATAATTAAGCTCAGTGTTGTTAAAATTTCCCCTTTGGGCTCCTGTAGTTTTAATATTTAGTGACAAACCTGAAGAGTTTTTATTAGAAACGGGACAAAAGATTCATGTTTAAAAATACCATTTCTTATATATTTCAGACATTTTAGAACCATTATGGGATTTACTGGTAATTTAAACAGGTCATGAAATTCCATATTGGAGTATAAGAACTAATTTTGAGGGGAAACAAAAGCTGTGTCTGTGTTTTTTACACACCACATATATGTGATGGGTTTTTTTCAGTTTGTATGTCACACGATCCAAATACTGCAAACCTGTGGAGAGCAGAGAATTCATCCTTTTTTAATCTGGATTTTTACAGGTATGCTGTTTAAAATATTTACATTACATGCTGACATCCCCATTTTAAATCAAACATTTTGCCGCTTTTTCAGGCTTGTCGACATCAAAATAACCTTCCAGTTGAAGGGAATCAACCTCCAGACAGTGCGTTCGCGAGAGTTACCCGACTGCTACTCCTTCTTTGTTACGGTATAAGTTTCTTGGCTTTATTAACGCCATGTAAAAGCAGCAAACACAGCTGGATTGAAGCACATATAAACACCTGGATCCCTTTGATTTGATAGATAACGTTCGATAACCAGTGTCACAGTGGAAAGGTGAAACTATTCCTGGACATAGACGCTGAAAGCAGCGCGTGCCGAGACTGGAAGATATCGGGGACGGGTAAGGTGAACTTCTCTAACCGAAGCGAAGCAAAAATTAATTAATGATAACAAATGAGGGAGGAATGAGACGGGTTATGGCTTTGAAAACTGTTTTTCACATTTGAGTAAAACAACAGGTCAGCCTGCAAATGCATGTTTGGAATATTTGTAAAAATATCAAAATGTTGTCAAGTTTTAAAGAATCAGACTAAATAAAAATAAACTCTTGTGGACCAATGTGTCTGTCCAGTTTATTTTGTGTTGCAGCAGCTTGTTCACCACGTTGTTAAAGTGTGTGGAAGGATTTGTCTCCAAACTTGTACCAAGACTGGGCAGTTTCCTGTAACTGAGGCGTTTGCATTCAGACTTGTGTTATCGGTGTCAGAACTGTGAGTGTGAGGGAGTTGAGTGATAAACCCTCTCACACCCACACTTGTGCTTTTTGTGTGTGTGTTTCAGCTCAGAAGAACACACACTATCTGCTGGTATTTGATGCCTTCGTCATTCTGATGTGCCTCACATCAGCCGTGCTGTGCACTCGCTCCATCATACTGGCCGTCAGGTTACTGCAGGTCAGCAACACCATGCAAGCAGCTACCTTTTTTTTTTTTTCTTTTTGAAATTAACTTAAACATCGTGGATAAAGGTGTGTGTGTGTGTGTGTGTGTGTTAAATTGACTGAATTCCCATTGTTTTATTTTGAAGAGGTTCTCCAGATTCTTCCATGAAAACTTTAATCGGAAAGTGTGCGAGGACGACCAGAGGGAGTTTCTGAACGGCTGGTACTTGCTGGTCATCGTCAGCGACCTCTTCGCCATAATTGGATCGATTCTGAAGATGGAGATACAAGCAAAGGTAAAATGAATAATCCCTTTCTTTCTTGCAATGGCGTTTAACCATAACACCCCCCCCCCCCTATTCAGTTGTCATTTAAAAGTTGTCAAATAATTGCAGAAGATTTGAAAATGTATATCTTTATGTAGAAAAGGTTTTGTATAATAAGCTGTTGTCAGAATGTATTTAATATTACTTTGTACACCAGGATCTTTTTCTACGTAGCTGACGGCTGTAACTGTGCAGGGGCGGATCTAGCAAAGTTTAGCCAGGGGGGCCGATAGGGCATTAACAGGGAAAAGGGGCACAAAGACATACTTTTCTTTCTTATTCTCATTTAAAATGTCGAGCTTTTAATAAATAATTATCTGAATCTTACACCCAAAGTTTTTATCTGATGTAAAATGTATAGAAGTCCATTACTGTATATAGTAACTGTTAAGTCTAATATACCCTAGTAAGCTATAGTACTTTTTCCTTTGGGAACCATCTGTGCAGTCTGCAGTTCTGTTGAAGAAATATGTTGAATCTGTTAAATTATTGTAGAAAAATAATTGATTTCTGTGCATTTTATTTTACCGGTGCATTCGATTAAGGTTGATTACGTCAATTAAGCATCACGAGGTGGAAAGTGGTTCCCTTTGTTGTTGCTGGGAGTTGGCAACCCTATTAGTTAGGTTGTTTAATATTTCTACTAGGTACTCTTTAAAATACCAGAATAGGGAGGCTAGAGGATTTAAGTTTATTAGATTGATCACTTTTGCTGAACTATGAAGTATTTTTTGTTTTTTTGTTTTTTTAGACGTGAGTATGAACTTATACAAAATGCAGCAAGACATTTAAAAAAACTGTTTTATTGATTAAAAAACACACTATCAGATTCGTATCGGACATAAAAAAGTGGTATCGTGCCATCTCTAGTGTGTAGGCAAATTTTTATCATATTTCATTATTTTAATGTTTTATTTATATCCACCGATGTGTTTTAAGTTTTAAAGAGTTAGACTCATTTATGCCCAACTTTGCTTCTTTTGTATAATTTATCACTGCAGGTGAAGCTCTACTATTATTTGCTACAATAACTTTTCAGCGGAGGTTAAGTTGTCTGAGTGCAGCATTAATTCACCAGTTAGGTTTTAGTATCTTATAATTACATCGTTAGACGTATAAAGGACAGTTTGGACCTTTAATCAAACTTTAAATTCCAAACCAAATTTCAACGTGACTGACGATACTTTGCATTGTGATTCGGACGTTGATAATAACTTTGAGCAGTTGGACACAATCAGAAATTGCAAAATCAGTGAAGCTGTCCTTTAAGAAACCTGCAGTTTACATTTGTAGTTTTCTTCTCAGTGCACATGCATTAAAGCATTAAAGCACGTTAAGGTTTATCGTTCCTTGGCTTCACTTTGTACTTTGAACCCTAATAAAATAATCACCCAGACTATGTCATTTACTGCAATCATACAGCAAAACCAGCTTTACTGTAATATAACTTATGTATACTGTGTGTAATTATGTAACAGAGTTTTCTAGAACTATGATTTCATCCCTAATCGTGGACTTTCTCTGCTCTCTTGTGTAGAACCTTACAAATTATGACGTGTGCAGTATCTTCCTGGGGACGTCTACATTACTGGTGTGGGTTGGAGTGATCAGGTACCTGGGATACTTCCAGAAATACAATGTGAGTCCATGCTCGGCACGACTGATGTAAGGCATTAATGTTCTACATTTATGATCTCAGAGTTTGAAGTCTGTTTCATGTGAGAGCTTCCAATGAGCAAAATATTAAGCAGGAGCTCATCACATTAAGCTTAATGCAACAGTGATGGAGAAACTTGTATTAATATGCTGTGAGAATGATATATTTATTTTAATTCTCATCATGCACATGTGTAGACCTGTATCCGTCCGCTCCACTCTCACATAAACCTTTATTTGTTGTCTCATAAGGTTTAAAATTCACTTAAAAACAGTATATTTCTTCCAAGTTTAGGTGCTGATCCTAACCATGAAGGCAGCCTTTCCAAAGGTCCTGCGTTTCTGCTGCTGTGCTGGCATGATCTACCTCGGCTATACTTTTTGTGGCTGGATTGTACTGGGGCCGTACCACGAGAAGGTAACTTTCTAACTGGTTTTGAGGAAATCACTGTGATGGGTGTGACAGAGATGCAGGGGAAACAGTCCAGGCTTCTTTTTCTTCCTCACGAAATGTTGCTGACGCTGATATTGAATTGAGGAACTCCCAAAAGTGCACATCTTTTAAAAAACGGACTTACGGTAGTGTTTTAGGTGATTGTTTTTGATCGTGTCCCAGATTCAGACTCTTGATAACCTGTAGATGAGATATTCAAAGTTTGATTTTGATGAGTTTTATGAGATTTGCAAATCAGTGATTTGTTTATTTGACAGTTTATTTTTTATTTACTTTTTTGGAACTGTGGTTGTACGATACTTTCCTTTTTATGATGACTGTCAGATTGGACTTGGAGAAGTTAAATCTTAACTTCTCCATCAGGTTTTCCAAGCTCTTTCTTTCAAATTGCTATTTCAGCATGTTGCTCTTCAAACTGAACAAAGTGTACACATGGCCTTTGGCTTCCCTGTACAGGAGCAACTAGAGTTCAGTGCATTTATAAGACTCTCTAAATAAAACGGCCACTAGGTGTCAGTGCATGATAATGCTTGTTTTGCTTCACTGGCTGCTGTTCGCTGCTTCATTGGTGACCAGGTTTTGAACATTGTACAGTGATTGCTGCCACATTCATAACACATTCATTTGTACACTGATGTGTGTGCATATGCGTGGATGAATCAACCATTTGAGGAATGAATCAAATGGTTGATGATTAGCAACAGAATTGTGCCACATTCAGTTTTGGGCCAACTGCCCCGAAACAGAGCAAATATCTCAAACTGAAAGAGGCTGCAAGAAGCAGTTTCCTCCAAATGTATGCATACAAGTGAGAAACAAAGTTGAGCGGCTCATGTTTTAAGAATTTGTGGAGATTACAGCTGGACTTGAGCAACATTTGGAGCACTTCTTAAAATCCTGAGAAACTCTAACCTTAACTGGGAGCTCCCCAGACAGTGATCTGTATGTTTAGCTGTTCTGGCTTGTTAAGATAAATTATTTACGGAAGTCTGAGCAGAAGTAGGCGTCTAAACACGGCAGAGCTCCTAATCTGCAGAGGCAGATGTGGGGAAGCCTGAGAACAGCTGCCTCACATCTTGCCTCTCACTGGCTAAATTGTTGATAATCTTGTGCTGAAGAGGAGTAACTACTGTAAATATATTGTGAGCTGATTTTTGTGTTTGCCTTTATGTCACTTCACTACCTCCCATGTTTAGGAATGCCCGTCTGTGGAACTAACAAAGCATCCATACGGTTGGTGCACTGAAGGCATTCAAGCAGGTCATTTTAGCTGTTAAGTACACTTTTCTCTGTTTAACAGTGAAATAGACTCTTATCAGGCCCACATGAAAAGCAAACTGTTACCCGACTACCATTTGTGCAACCAGCTCTGCTATGCCAGCGTTTCACATCAGCCGTGTTACAGTTCTTTACGTTTGCGCAGCGATGCAGTCAACGGAGACTTTTATATTTATACTGCGATGTTTCGGGGAGTCCCCCGTAGTGACCTGTAAGTGTTTCCAGGATCCTCAGGTTATTTACAGAAGGAAATCAGCAGGGGATGACCTGCGGCTTGCCGTTCCACACGTCTTCAAGTGCTGTCAGCTGAATCCATAGTGTCTGAGAGTGATGTTGTTTTTAGATCTTATCTCATTCTTGTGGAACATGACTTCTTTCTGTTTTGTGTCGGGCTTTCTGATTGGTTCTTTCAACCAACGGTCTCCCTTTTTTCCTTTATTGCATCATTCCTATCAGTCTTTAGACAAACTCGTTGTCTTATTATTAAGCCTGCGAGGTCCAGCGTTTCTTTTAATACAACCAAGTACTTTTGGAAACTCCAAGTTTTCTTTAATCTCTGATCAAAACACAGTGAAGCTGACCTATACCTGAGCATTCAGGCTGTTTACTTAAACACTTCTGTTGCCTGTTTAATATGTTGATGGTAATAATCTGAAGTGACTCGTCTTCCTGTGATAAACTGGGTTTCGACCTAAGACTTACTCATTAACATTTGTTACATCAGCTACTTAAAAGATCAAAACAGTCTTTCAGTGTGAAGAATTTTTACTTGCAATTTATAAGAAAAATAATAAAATAATGTCATGTTGTCCTTTTGAAGTTGGTGATTAACACTAAATTGTATTTTATGGCATTTTTACAGACCAAATGTCTAACTTTTTTTTTTTTTAAAAGGAAGAAAAGCTGCAGTAATGTAACAAATTTCTTTCCATCTTCTCTTTTGTTTTCCAGGAAATCTCAGATTTCTGTGGATTTGTTAACTGCTCACTGCACTGTTATTTCCCTCTTTCTCTGTAGTTTGAGGGCCTGAGTCTTGTGGCAGAGTGCCTGTTCTCTCTGCTGAATGGAGACGACATGTTCACCACCTTCGCCCAGCTTAAGGACAAAAACACCTTGGTGTGGCTCTTCAGTCGGGCTTACCTGTACTCCTTCATCTCCCTGTTCATCTACATGGTGCTGTCGCTCTTTATCGCTCTTATAACCGACGCCTATGAGACCATCAAGGTACTTACGTTACCGAGTGCGAGTCATTTGAAAACTGTGGCATTTTGTCAATTAAACTCTTGGATCTTGTTAGACCTGACAGGAGGCTGGAAAATGTGGACTAAAACTGAACAACAATCCTTACTGTACTTTGAGCTTTCTGCCAGCAAGACAAAAGGGATGTTCACATCTCTTCTGACAGAACCACAAAAAAGGGACGTCCCTGTGTGAGATTGCCACTCTTCAACCAAATGCCACATCAGTGTTGCAGGTTAAGTCTAGCTGCGTGACAAAGAGAAAGGATGGTACAAATCGAGTGCATTCATATGAGTGAAGTAGTGTGTCTTCACTCTGGGTTGGGAAGCAACTCCTTCAAGTTGAAGGAGTTAAGGTGGCTTCGGGGTCCTGTTCATGAGTCGGGGAATGAGCGGGAGATTGACAGATGGATTGGTGCAGCGTCTGCAGTAATGAGGATGCTGTAGCTGTCTGCTATGGGAGGAGATGGCATCAATTTACTGGGTGCTTTATGCCTCCCACCCACGCATGGCCACAAGCTGTTGATAGCAGCCAGAAGGAGCTTCCTCAGTAGGGTGTCTGGGTTATTTCTTAAAAAGGGTGACGACCTTAGTTATTTAAAAGGGGCTCAGTAGAACGGTACTTGGGCATTTGGGTGATCCTGCATGAATCCTAGGTTAGGTGTTTGCGTGCGTCACAGGTAGTTCAGGGCTGAAGAAACTGCAGAGGAGCTGGATGAGGTTGACAGGTGAGTGGGGAGTCTGGGCATCTATGAACCAAATAAGCAGCAGGATGGACGGAGAGAAGTGTCGAGGACAAAAAGAGGGGGGGGTTAAGTGCATCTTGTGCTCTTCTTACATCTTACTTCCTGTCTTGCTTGTCCCTTAGGCAATAATGTAATTGCATCTTGCTGAGAGGAGACAACAATCAGTGAATATCACATCTATAAAAAGCCTTTATTTCAAATTTTATATTTAAATTTTGAAGAAAAATGTGACGAAACCAGTTACAATGTTTCTCAATCCATGTTTCAGTCATTGCGGTACCTGTTTGTGGGCTTGAGTCTACAATATGCGTTAAATTGGTGTGCATTTCTCAAATCTAGCATGGAAAAAGTTTTGTCTTCTGACTTTAAATGTGATGCATTTTGGACTTTTTCTATTTGCTAACAGAGTTACCAGAAAAATGGGTTCCCGCAGACCGACCTGCAGAAGTTTCTCCACGAGCCGACAGAGCTGCCTAACATAGAGGAGAGCGATCAGACAGACGTCAGCGTCAGGCACTCTGTACTCTGCTACTGCCAGTGGTACGACTGTTCACAGCAGTGTTGCTTGTTTAATATTTAATCTCTCTTCACACACTCAGCCACACCTGGAACCTGTTCTCTACAAACATCAATGTAACATAAGAGGTATTGTGTTTTAAATACCTGCTTAGAGTTGTTAGCCAGTGAGATTTAAGATTTTATTATAGTTTGACGGTTGCTTGTTGACTATTAGGGCTATTACTTGGCTTAGCTTATTACTTAGGTCTTAGCTTGAGAAGAAGATGTAGTCTTAACCTCTTAAATCTTGGCCATCAATCAATATCTAAATCAACTGATGGTCAAAACAACTGTCACTTTTAGTTACTGTTAACATGAATGCTGACGGTCATGCTGGCAAGAGTGAAACACATCTCTTGTTCCTGGGAAAGATTCATGAAGTCTTCGGAAAAGAGCTGGCACCAGCGTCAAAAGTGAAGTTGATCAGAGAAATGTCGAGGAAACGCCGTTACATTCTCACTCTCCCTTTCAGTCCGTGTACAAATAAACAGGATTCACGGTAACATTCAGAAATGAAAACAGAGTTTGTGTCGCTTACACCTTGTCGCCATGATATACGGACACCGTACTCCTCTGTATGTCGGTGTTTTCTTCTCATTCCATTTCCATGAGCCAATCTCCATCATCGGCAGGCAGCCGACTGCAGCGGAGTTTCCTCCACGCTGCGGTTTGGCTCCGTCTTACGTGGTTTGAGAGCAATGAAATTAGTGGTGGGAGCTATGCTGACACACCCAGTGATGGGCTGATTACAGAGAAACTGAGGGCCTCCACACTGAGGAACACCCCTGCCCCCACCGTCCCCTTAAACTCCCAGCCGTTCTTACCTCTGTACTGTTATGTCCCTGAATGCACAGGTCACAGTAAACATTGTGGCTCAAAATGAGCTGAAAAGGCTCAGTGGTGAGTCGAAAGCAGTTTTGAATGCATTGGAGAGACTGGTTTAGCGGCTCTGTTGTGCGTGGTTTTATTAGAACGACCTCACACTGTGTTCTCTCTTTATCATTTACTTAACCTCTTTTCAGTTGTCTGATAACATGAAGTGTTTAACAGGCCTGAGAAATGTTTCATTTTATTTCCCGTTATCGTTTAAAGCGGCAGCGCAGTGCCCCGTTTGCTCCCAGCAACACTTCCTCCATCACAGTCAGCACATTACTGTGAAGTTGATGTTTCTGTTCAGGAGAATGTTTCGCTGTAAACGGACACCACGATTGGTTTCTGTAGCCGCCATCACAATCATTCCACTTCAAAAGCACGAGACTGTTTTGTGACTGAGTGCATGAGATGTTGTTTACCCAGTAAAGCAACTACTGTAGTCATTTGTAGAGAGCTGTGTTTCGCGTTTGCCACCAAACTGTTATTTTTTTCCTGCCAGAGCTTTGAATGTTTGTACACACTGTAAAAATGATCTGTAGTCGTGTACTCGTTGGGAAAGTCCTGGCACTGGGAAAAGTTTCCTTTGCTGTATGTGTTATGATGACACATTGGAGCTTAGACAGTCTGTTTCCTCCCTCGGGGCTCTTCAGCCGTTGTTTCAGCAGACGTTAACACGCCGACTTTGAGGGTTTTGTTTTGGGCTTGTTATTTTATTTTTATTTATTTTTTATGGATGTTTGTCAGCCGTTTTCTATCACCCAGCTTTCCTGGGATTCCAGCTCTGGTTGCCTTGAGTGTTTAAGGAAGTCTAGTTTCAGTTACAGTGCCATTATGTACTGATGTGTAATGTACATCCTCTGTTGAAATTAGTGACCATCTTTTAAAGTTGGTTCAGTTTTCTTATTAGCACTCTTGTAGATTTGCACTGACTATATAATTGCATTCATTTGCAGCCTTTGACCTGGCTAAATCTAATTTTTTACAAGCATCCTTATCTTACTGTCCCAGCAAAAATTAGATCAGTGTTCTCAGTTAACGTTTTAATGTCTTACTGGGTGAAATTTCATCTGGATCTGTTACCTTGTTTGGAAAGGAAGCTGGGAAGTGATCCTTGGGTTGGATTTAAAACTTGTTTACCAAAAGCGTCAGGTTTGTTATCTCTTGTATATTATGACTCTTGTGAATTCAATTAAATGTAATAGAACGCATATGTGTGACAGAGGTTGTAAACTTAACAGTATCTGGACTTAAATGTATCAGCTGCAGTCTGTCAAAGATTATGGCCCTATTCCTCAAAATGTTGACTCCCATCATCAACTCTGAGATCAGCAACTCAGACTTTACAGTTTCAGAACAGGCCGATCAGACTTCACCTGGAGTTTCACGTGCATGAGTAGGAAAAAGAAAGCAGCAGTCAGCGGCGCTCCGATACTATGACTCACCGTAGCATTTGGTAAATAAAGAGCAGAGCCTCCACTTTAATCCGGTGTACTGAGGAATATGAATGTGTCAGTGTGGATCATGATGTTTATCTTACAAACAGGACAGGTGAAAGGAGTCATTTTAATCAGCCTGGGGCACTCTGTCATCATCAGACAGAAAACATTCATGTCTTGTCTTTGGCGGCGTTTTGACAGTCACCACCATCGCTAAGCCTCATGTCAAAGACATTACATTCATGCAACTTAATTGTATCCTGTGTGGTCAGCAGGAGGGATTTACACTCTTTGTTATGGTCAGTGTTGGGGTTAACAACACTGTCAGTGCGCCCCAGGGTGGCTGTGGCTACATGTAGCTGCCATCACCAGTGTGTGAATGTGTGTGTGACTGGATGTGTAAAGCGCTTTGGGGTCCTTAGGGACTAGTAAAGCGATATATAAATGCAGGCCATTTAACACGGAACACCTTTAAGAAAAGTATTGCATTACATTACTGATTTACTCCCAGGAGAAAGTAATTCGTAGCACTGAAAAAGGTCCTGAAGGGCACACACCTCATGAAACGTCTCATGATTACCAGTTAAGAATGTAAAAACCTGAGTGAGTGACTGCACATCAGTTTGTTACCTGTTGAAGATCAGGGTCTTTGTGCTGGTCTGGGGTCAGCATTCACTCAGCTTTTACTCTGGGCTCTTGGCTAGCTTAGCATTAGCGTGCTGTCTGTGCTTGCAAAGAGCTGAAATATGTTAGCAGCATAATGTCGTTGTTTCTGTCCTGTATGCAGTCTGCACTTCACCACCGTGCACTCGTCCTTTTGTGCAATAAAAGTTTGTTTTCTCCTTTGACAACAAAATGATTAGATACAACTTCTTTACTCACTTGGTCTCATCGTCGTCATCAATCATTCCAATCCTGGAAAATGTTCTGCTTACAGCAGATCATAAAAATGAAGGAAAATTACCTTTTGTTTAAAAACAAAGTGTTTGAACTTACAGCTTTCTTTGGTGGGTTTACTCTGATACAGTGAAGTGTGCAAATCTTTGCTGTGTGTTGCTATCAAACCTGCGTGAAGTTGAAATTACAGATTGGAGAACGAGGCCTTAATGATGCGTGTGTGGGAATTATCCCAAGAACATTACCGTGATAGTGTTGCAAGATTATGCCCTAAAGTGAGAATTCCTGTCTGCTTGTGTAACAAGTTGGATGTATCATCCCAACATAATATTGATACACTTGGGAATAACAGTGTTGCCTTGGTAGCTACATTTAGAATGGCATGTACCCTGCATTTGAACAACCTGTAGCTTTAATAAAGCTGGAGCACATTTGATTAAACCTGGGACATGCAAGGTCATTCGTATACAAGCATGTAGGAGTCCCATAAATAGGATACTGCCATTATTTAAGATCGTACACTGCTTGCTTTGATTTTGAATACCAGCAGAAACCACCTATTTTTCTTTCTTGAATTTGGTTCATATCATTTATGAGTAAGATGAGTATTGGTGCTTTCTAAAGAGAAGCATTCGCTAACCACGCAATCGAATGTCTGAGTGAAAAGTAGCCTATGCTGTAGTTTGTCATGATGAAAGGTTGGTGGTTTTATGAGTTCTCTCTCTCCTTACAGAGTTCCAGCAAATGATGATGTCATACTTATCAGCTGACGGCTGCCCCGCCTCTGGATGAGACAGTTTAGGGAGGAAAATGCTGGGAACAATACTTCACATGTCTGAGATAAACTTCTCAACGCTGAAACACTGAAAAAATCCTGGAGAATGTAGATTTACACGTGTAACATCCCGTGAGGTGCAATAAGAAAGGCCAAATGAGTTTCCTTCACTGAACGGGAGTCAGGAGCTCAAGATGCGGAGCTGGAACTGGGACTAAGAAGAAGTGGCTGCTTGGATTAATTGTGTATGTTTATAATACTGCTTAGATGTTTATTTGGCCAAGGAGTTTGGTCGAGTGCTGTTGGGGAATGTACAACATTAAAGTTAATTTATTAAGTGTTGAAGTAAAGGTTGCAGCAAGGCTAATCTTCCTATTTGTCCCCTTTTTTTTTTTTTTTTAAATTTAAATGTAATCATGTCACTGGTGGGAGTGGGGGGTGAGTTTTCTCTGAAGTGCACAAACATGTTTCCAGCAGAGTTGTGATTATGACTAGTTTTGAATGAACACACCACAACGATGAGTCAGCTCGATCTGTGTAGAAACCAGCAGGTTAAAGTTAAAGACAAGCTGGAGCATGACTTCTGTTGCAGAGCTGTGCTCCTAGTTAAGATCATCACATTTCTCCCACATTTTCTCAGCTACGTTGGCCAGTAGGTTGCCTTTTATTTATTTATTTTTTAAGTATTTTATCATTCAGCTGTTTAAAATCTTCAAAGCTAGTTTACAAATGAGGTAAAGAAGATATCTGCAGACTCTTAAACGTGCCTGGATCATGAAGTTACAGAACCCCTGGACAAAAATGTTTGATGAGCCCTCGCTCATTTTTGTGTTTTGTTTTTTATTTCCTCCTTCTCTTCCCCTTTCTTCAGTAATCAGATGCATCATACAGGAATGTGTGCGTATATGTACACAGAGCAGTTTTGAAATAGAGAGCACTGCACCTTTTAGTGAAGAAATATCAAAATACAAGTTTTGTAAAAGCTGTATTATCCTTACACTAAACGAAACAGCCAGAGATTGTTTAAAAAAATGATGCTATGTTTTCGTGCACAAGCAGCTGTTATCATCTTCGTCTTGGTTTCTGCCCCCAACGCACCACAACCCTCGAGATTCTTGCCAATCTCGGTCATGGATGATTGTTCGTTGTTGTAACGCAGAGCTTTTCTTGGGAAAAGGCACGTTTGGCATGTGTCCATTGAAAAAGGACCTTTTTTTTTTTTTTTCCTTTGATGGGGGAAAAAATCCTGCAGGTAAAACAAAACTATTCCCTGGATGCTAAAGGTTTCAGGTTAGCTTGCATGTCATCTAACTGACATCTCAATAACTTCACTGAAAGGTTTTCATCCAGAATTATTTACAAAAATGAGTCAGGAACACACATTTATTCACATTTCCTCTATTGTGCCCATGGGTTTGGGAGTACCTAGTCCACAAGATGTCTAACTTTGGGAGAGCCTACTAGCATCGGCATTGTAGGGGAGAAAAGGGGCAGGAAAAATACATACTACTATATTTTACCAATTATGCCATCCTGGTATGATATAAACAAGACAATATAGGTTAAAAATCTAACGTTTAAGTTGATACAGTTTGGTATTTCTTTTATGCGCCTCTTGGTTGGGGCCCCATCTCTACGAGAACCCCGGTCACAGGCCCTGAATGGCCATTGGATAACCTGAGCCTGCTTCTCAAAACCCCAAAGGAACAAATCCTTTCCAAGGACGATTTACCAGAAAATCAGGTAATGGTGCTAAGCTGCTGGTTAATTGGTTTCAACTTTTTTCAGTGCTGACTCTAATCAGTTTTCTGACTCAAGTAAAGTTGCATTAAAACTAGTTTAAGATGCTGTTGTGTCAAAAAGAAAAGTGCCTATGCAGGAAAAATGCCTCGCCTGTAATTAATATTTTATCAGACATATTTATTATTAATGCTAAGTGGTTGTATTGTTGTTCAAGGTGGAGCTGCTTCTAGCTACCGCACACAGTCTTCTGTAGCTCAGTCTAGGAGCTGGAGTCCTTCCAGCGCTACGGTTCCAGTGTATATAAGACTAGATGAGCAAGGGTTAAAAAAACAGGTTAAACGTCACATATTACCCGTGTGATGCTTATAGGAATGAAACCAGATGAGTTTAAAGGAGAAATGTTTCTGTGAATGACCTGGTAAAAATTCATGGACATGTTAAAAGTGACAGGGACTCCAAATGACTGATTTTAAAAGCCAGAAAGTTAGAATGTTTCATTATTCACACTGAAAACGCGAATAAGACGTCACACTGTTAAGATGTAACTGTATCCGCAGCTGTCACGTAGTCTAGCTGATAAACTTCTGGTTCATTCAGATCACTGACTTGTTATCGGTTTCGTTTGGTCATCGTGCGCTCGCGGGGTCTCGTGCAAAGTGAGCAGTGAGCGTGGGTGGCTCCACGCTCACGCCCTCTGCGTCACGCTGCTGAGACCTGGGGAGGAAGACGCTCTGCTCTCACTCCGTCCTGGCAGCGGCGCAGTGAAGTCACCTCCCTCCGTCCTCAGCCGAGGACGCACAGCGCTACAGGAGAAACATGTTCATTAAGTCCAACTGAGGATTTCGCAACTTTAAGTCTGCTGACGCACAAAGGACAAACATTTCCCACAGGTAAACCCACCTGGCTGTTTTTCCCTTCTGCTCGATCTCCTGTAATTGCCTTTTTTGTTAACTTCTTATTAGTTTCGACTAGTTTTTCTGTGGTTTCTCCAAGTGCTTATCATTTGTCTGTCCCGCTGTTAGAATCTCCTCCCCTGGCTTTGCTGCCCACTGGTTTCCAAGTCGGACCGGTTGTAGTAAAGTTTGAGTGAACAAAGGAGTCATGAAGAAAAGTGTACCTTGCACCGTGTTACAGTCAACTCTGGTTTATTACCATGTATGCAGTGTTTACCCTAAGAAATGTTTGCATACATGGAACTTTCAGATGGGGTCCATATGATTTTCACTCTGATTTTTTAATATATGGTCATGCCCTTCAGCTTTAATGAGGGTTTACTGTGAGTTTAGTTTTGTACAATCAGAGCGGCTCCGGTAAACAGGCTGTGCTGTGTGCGTCTTGGAGTCAAATGAATGAATCTCTTCCTTGGCTTAGGGCAGGGGTGTCAAACTCAAACACACAGTGGGCCAAAATTCAAAACTGGAACAAAGTCGCGGGCTAATGTTAATATTTATTAAATATATTTATTCCTCCAGATTTAAGAATGAATCTTTTCTTATGGACAGGTTTTGCTGAAAAACTGAATATGGAACAAGCAAAGCTTAATACTAAACAATATATATATTAGCTGTGTAATACCAGTAGGCCAGCTCTGATAGTAATTTGGTAAGGCTTCACGGGCCATATGTAATTGTTTGACACCTATGGCTTAGGGGGAGAGAAAAAACTCAGTCAGTCTAGAGATTTCATCACAACAAATTTGTAGAAGATGATACTAATGAGTTGTGCTTTTTTATAGCTGGTGACTAAGACTGCATAGATGCAACATGAGACAAAAGGTTTAAAGAGTCCATCGTATTGACATGGATAATGAAAAGTTCTGCTTTTAACGTCTTGGTTTTCTCATTTCACAGACCTGCCTTTTAAAATGGCCGAACAGAACACCTGTCATTACAATGAGACGATGAAGTTCTTTTACAACCAGAGCGGAGGTGATGACAAATGGGACACCACTCAGCTCATCCTGGTCCAGGTTGTGGGCTCCATCTTCTGCTGTTTCATCCTGGTCTCCAATGTCATGGTCATAGCTGCTGTCATTACCAATAAAAGGTTTCATTATCCTTTCTACTATCTCCTTTCCAACCTGGCTGCCTCGGACTTCCTCGCAGGGATAGCGTACGTGTACCTCATGTTCAACACGGGCGAGGTGTCACGGCAACTTACTGTCACTGGTTACTTCATCCGCCAAGGTCTTCTAGACATCAGTCTCTCAGCTTCACTGGCAAACCTGCTAGTCATAGCTCTGGAGCGCTACATATCTGTTATGAGCTGGAAAGTTCATAGCAACCTGACGAAGAGGAGGGTGACGCTGCTTATTGTGCTGGTGTGGGCCATTTCCATCTTCATGGGGGCTGTGCCCAGTCTGGGCTGGAACTGTATCTGCAACCTGAACACGTGCTCCAAGCTCGCTCCCATCTTCAGCAGGAGCTACTTGATCTTCTGGTCTGTCTCTAACCTGGTGGTGTTCCTTATCATGGTGTCCATCTACCTGAGAATCTATGCCTACGTTAAAAAGAAGACGGCGATGCTCATGCCACACACCTCCGGCTCCATCAACCGCAAGAGGACACCCATGAAGCTCATGAAGACGGTCTTGGTTGTGCTTGGTAGGTGCTACTCATAAAGTAGTTCCCTGAGGAGTATCGCTGATCAGCGGATCATAAAAACACTATTGTGCTTTTTAAAGTTGTCACAAACTTTAGAAACAATTTAGAGTCTCTGCTGAAGATACTTGATTATAATCTAGATGTTCCTGACAAGATGGAAAAGCAAGTTATAAAAGGGGCAAAAAAAATATTAGCTGCGTTCACCCAAACAGCAGCCATTCAGTGCCCTCACGTCTGAGAAGCTGTAGCCTCAGAGTGTTTAGAAATAATAAGAAATACCTCTTAACTTATTTTTTAACCGCTGGCACATAAACTCATGATTTAGTGGTACAACGCTTGTCACAATACCTTCTCCCCTTCTCAGTTGACTCATCTTAGACGAGGGCCTCGGATATCATTACTTGGCTCCCTTTGTTGGCGTTTTGCAAGAGGATACCTTTCAATAGAGGCTCAGTAATAAAATCAGACCAGTGCTTTCTATTGTAAACGGTACAATAGGAGTGTACAAGGATATTCTACTGCAGTGCAACTACAGACCATTGGAAGTTACACTGTTTTAAGTACAGTGCTGTGAAAAAGTCTTGAGCCACCCCCCACGTCTGTACATTTGGCTTAGAAAAGGGGCGGCAATTCATTGAAACGTGTGCAAACGTGCACAGAGATTTAGAATACGAGTCAAAAACAGTTAATTATTTGGTATGACCACCTTTATTCTTCAGCACAGCCTGAACTCTCTTAGACAAGCTCGCTTGTCATTCCTTTAAATGGTCTTCAGGAATAGTTCACCAGACTTTGAAGGTCATTTGAAGCTATTCTTTGGAAGATGCCTTTTGTTTGAGGCTCTGGGGCGGCCATTGTGTGCTGTTCTATGCTTGTGTGCTTTTGCTGCATTGGCAGCATGTTTTAGATAACAAGTACGTCACTGCCAATTTGATATTTTCCAGATGGTTGAATGGTTGATCAAAATCTGAAAGTGTTTTGACATTTTGACAAGATTCCCAACACCATTGACTGACAGGCAGCCTTAAACCATGGCAGAGCCTCCACCGTGTTTTACAGATGGCTGTAGACACTCGCTGCTGCACCTTTCTCCCGACCTCCTCCTCCACACCACATCCTTTCCCCCCAGCTAACAGCTCTTAGTAAATCACCTTTGTGGTCCAAACATACCATTTTATGTCCGTCAAACCGCGTTATCATTGTTATTTCACACAGATTCGGTTCAGGAATAAACTGTTTTTGTGACAGGCTGTTGGCAACAAAGTGCCTAAAGATACAATTTCAAATAGCTTCTTTATGCATAGCAGAAAACTTAGCAGACACAACAATCGTTTATCCCTTGAGTTAGCTGCCTCAGTGTTAGTTGGCTTAATAAACAAAACATTCCTTTGCAAATGGTCAGGTACGAGGACTGGAATGAACTGATTGAAAAAGCAGCCAATGTCCAAAGACAAACTAAAAGAGAACTCGAAGCATTTGCACAGAACTGTATAACACAGTCTATGTATAGTAAGTCACCAAAGCTAGGAATGCAGGCCGGACTGATGCATCTCTGATAGCGCTGCAGGTCAGACGAGTTCCTCAGCGTTCAGTGTGATTGCTTTTTGTTTTGTGTGCTCTTCAGATAAAAGAGAAGGTTGAAGCGTCACACCACAGAGAAATGGTCCGGCGTTGATCTTTCTCAGCTCACATGGGCAGATATCTCAGTGCTGAATGTAGTGTAGAAGATGTTTGTCTGTTTAGACACTTTATTGCAGACGGCTGTGTAATTATCTCTTCCTGCAAGGACACTGCTTCACAGCCTGTGTGGCGTACCATCCACCACACCGCACTGGTTTTCAGTGAACGTCCCCTCCTCCCTACCCAAAAAAGGGAAAAAAGAAAAAGAACCTATACTCGGGGACTTCGGCGATTGCTTTCAGATGCACTTCTCCATAGCTTGAAGTGTAATCACACAAGTGTAGGTTCGTCCCTTCAGTATGTTAATTTATCTGTTGATTTCCTTCTTCCTCTTAACCTATCTCAGCTTTCATAGGGCGAGATATGGTATAAATCTCCTGTCTATCACAGGGCTAAAGCCCTCCACCTCTGCTCACAGTAGCAATAAGCTTCAACAGTTAACACAGAAACTTACTTACTTAAAACTGTAGCTGGAGAGTATGTAACACAATTATTTTAATGATTATGCTTTATGGGAAAAAGTCAATGAAGCTCTTATGGAAGAAACAATTGGACTATCAAAACCTGTAGGGCATGGAGTCAGGTCCAAGGTAAAGGGAAAACTGCTTGTGCAGACAAAAACGGCAGCAGGGCAAACCAGTTCAGAAATGCGTCCGAAGCACACATGCTTTGTTAAAAGCAGTAAAATAACTGATTGCAGAAAGACTTGAAATGCTATGGCCTTTGTCACACCAAAGAATGAATATGCTAATGCATAAACTGTCCTTTAGAAGTAAAAGGAAACAACAGCTGTCCCTGTTTTCTCTCAGTGTTCGGCCTGTAACAGGTTCGAAGATTGTTTCTAGGGTGTTTTGTTTTGTTTTTTTGCTCATAATCTTTCCGACTTCATACAATAAATTCACTCAAATTTAAAACAAGTAAGCGTCAGGAATCACTGTTCTTCTTTTTTCATAATTGCGCTTCATGGCACTAGTTTGTCAGCATGCAGTTGTTGTAGTTTAAGCATCCATCTGTTTAAATGTAGCACATCCCAGTGTGTTGGGGCCTGCTTTTGAAGTGAAGCATCGTAATACTCCCGGCAGATTTGTTGTCATTCTTTAAGCGTAACCACAAATCGACAAATGAATAGCAAAAGGAGCAGATGTTCAAAACATGGGCTTCTAAAGCCTTTTTATTTGTAAGAGATTTAAGAGGAAAAAAGTTTGAGCTTGTAGAATACCTCAAAATCTGCACGATGATGGAATCTCAGTTACAGTTTGGTTCACGTTACTTTGGACATCAAAGATGATGAAAACAAATTCAGGCGGAAGAAGGCTGCATATAAATAACTCGTTTTTGAGTTTTAGAATAAAAGCTGAGCTCAACCCTTCTCCCACACCCCTCTGTCTGACAAAAGAAACGGTGAGCTGTAAAAAAACCCAAACAAAAAACATGTTTTTCTCCTGCTGTTGACATAAAGCTCAGAGATGCTCTAGTAGAGCAGACAGGTTGATGCTTGTTGGTTCGTTTTATTTCCAGAAAAGCTTTAGTTGCTTTGCTTTGTGCCCAAACATGTTTGAAGTAGATGGCTGCTTCAGTGCCTCCATGACCCACCTCATTATCTGCAACATACAGTTAAGTACTGAGCACAGTAATGGCATTGTGTTTCCAACCTGCGTCTACTTGTTTCTCGACTAGAATAGGTTGAATTTAAGCAACGTGGTTCTTTTACATTCTGTGCTTTAACTTCAGGAGTGAAGTTTGTTAACACATAATTCCATTTGTGTAAAATATAACTTCTGCACAATTCCTGATCTCCACATGTGCACAGCAATCGGACACCGGGTGGAAGTTTGAATGTTTATACAGAGCATCCAAAAATCTACAGGCTGTGGTTATGTTTACCGTCTGCTGAAAACCTCTGGTTAATGTAGGTCCGATCGTGACGTAAGGTCGGGCAGAAGCAAATAAATAAATGAAATATGTACACGTGGCCCCCTCAGCCCAGCAGCATTTATTATGCCAAGAAGATACTAATGGAAAAATGCAGACTGGCTTCATTTTGGAGTAATAAACCCTAACTATCACCCGACCCCTGCATCATCTCTGGCCACACAACCTCAGCAACCATCTTTTTTCATTTTCCTGCTTCCTCTGCTCACCTCAGTCTGTTTGCTAACCCCTTGATTGTCACGAACTGGCCCAAGTGAAATGCAGCATCCTGCAAACAACAAAAAAACACGAGAGGAATTAATAAGAGTAACCAAACTAAAAGTTTAACATAGTGTGAAAAGAAGATGGAGCACACCTCAGTAACATAAAAATGCCTGCAAGTCTGCAGAAGAGAGAAGTGAATGTTCGCAGCATGTATTGTAAAGAAAAACCACCAGAAAGGAAAGATTAGAGATGACCAAAAACAAACACAGCTCTAAAGAGGCGTGTGGACAGATGAATCGGAGCTCGGCTGTACCGGTTCCTCTGAAAGAAGTGAACTGTTGAGGTCTTGTTCTGAGTCGAAGCATCGGAAAAGGTGTGTCAAACATGGCGGAGGCAGTGAGATGATGTAAGCATGCACACCCTCCAGAGGCAGTGAGTTCATTGATGATGTGCCAGAAGACAGAAGCAGCCAGATAAGCTCTGAAGTGTGCAAAGCTACACTTTCTGCTCTTTCAGCTGAATACACCAAAGCAGTGAAAATGACCCTTTTTTTTTAAAAGATAACGAAATGAAACGATCTGCAGTGGGAGAGTCAGTCACACCAGGTTAACCTGATTTATCACTTGCTGATGATAAAGTAGTATGATAAGGCAAAACAAAGAAGACTGTTTGCTGTTTGTTTTTGCCTTTTCAAACTGTTCATGACGAAGGTTTTAAAATATGGAAACAAAAGGACGTAATTCCTCAATCTTCAATGCAGTTTCTTTTGTTCGTTTACTAGGATCAAAGCTGAAAGTCGCCTCTTTAGAACAATTTTCATCAATATTTTAGTTCATACAATAAATGTCCAAAATGTCTTGTCATAACTGTATAATAAGACATTTATTATTTAAGTTTCATCTGCAAAATGTTGAAGATGCGACTTTTCAGACTGCCTTTGTGCAAAAATTCTACACACTTTTGAAAGGAAACGTAGTGAAGATGATGACGCAGTTTGCTTCTTTCTCTTCAGGGGCCTTTGTGATCTGCTGGACTCCTGGCTTGGTGGTTCTGCTGATGGATGGCCTTAACTGTGAGAATTGTCACGTCATGAAGTTAAAGCGCTGGCTCCTGCTCCTGGCTGTACTCAACTCTGTCATGAATCCCTGCATCTACTCTTACAAGGATGAGGAAATGTGGGCAACTTTTAAGAACCTCATGCGCTGCATTGGCAACGGCACTCGTCGGCAGAGGTCAACAAATGCCAACTCCAAGCCACTGAGCTCTGGGCACGACACGGGCAACAGCCAGCCTCCCTCAGAAGAGATGAAGAATGATGAGGGTTTACTCAAGAACTGAAAACTTTTTCTTTTTTTCTATTTTTTGAGAACATCTGTCCAGATCTGAACGATCTTTATGAAAAGAGACTGGAGCCGACTTGAAAGAGAAGCTGCATATGTCTCCAGTTGGTCTCAGTGGGTTGTGTTTGTCCTCAGATTAAAAGCAGTCTCCTGAAGAGACATTTCACGCCAACTCCTCCACTGCTGGAGTTGGTTCGATGGAGATAGGGATCTTCATGCACTGCTGTTTCCCCTAATGAATGCAAACGAGCTGTTCTGTCAGGGTTTGATCATGTTTGGACACATACCTCCCATTCTTCCATAATGGGAATCATCCTGTGTTTTTTTTATCATATCCTCTGGGTTGCGTAAGCACGGGTGACACTGCACTCGAATGGCTGATTAAAACAAGTCGGCGTGGCGTGCACGGCTGTTCATTTCCCCTTTAAGCCTGCGAGGGAGTAAACCGTATGAAGTGTGACATCAATATGATTTTCTGTATATCTGCTTGATTCTTCCACTAAGTTCACTTCCTGGTTAGCTTTTAAGGAATGCTGTAGTGGAAGAACTAGTCAAGAAGAGGGACATTTCGTTCCAAGTCGGGCACCGTAAAGCTGCGGCTTCGCTTGGGCAGGACGCGGTTTTATGTTTATTTTATGCTTTCAATAGATCCAGCAAAGCATTCTTGAAACTATACTGTGCAGAAAATATGTACTTGGTGTGAGAATTTCAGTCACTTCTTGTTGAGTAGTTTGGCCTCTGGTGGACAGTCTGTCTCCTTTTTTCAGTTCACCTGTGCAAAACTATGACCTGCAGCAAATCACGCAGACAGACTTGTTGTGTAACTTTTCTTTATTCAAACATCCGCTTCAGCTTGCTGAGTGGCTGATGCTGCTCTGATGAAACAGCTGGTCACCAGTAAAAGAGCTGTAAAATGATGTTGCAACACACTGGATTCCAGCTGGAGGTTTGGCATACAGTAGGCCCTCAGGACCCGAAGACGATACGACTGAATAGACTGTACCTCCCTTTGCGAACACAAGCGCCTGCAGGCTGATTAGGAAAACTTCCTGGTCAAATCTAAACCACTGACTGGGCTCAAATGACTTTTCTTTGGTTGTAAAGTATTTATGCCATGTATGTTGTAAAGGACGTCATTAAAATTGTAAATTGAGAGACAAGTTAGTGGAGCCGTTTACACCTTCTGTGGTTTGTTTGTTAGGCTGAGATGACCTGTGTTCCTGTGTAGTTTTGGACTTTTAAAGCCATAAAACTTTAATGTCTTTTTAAATATCTAAGGACATCCTTTTTTTAAAATAAGCAAATATAAGAATGTGTACAATATTTCTTTTATGACATGATATAGAAACCTTAAGTTAATTCCAGAAAAATATGTAAAATATATACATTTTTATATCTTTCAGTATTTCCTATATTTTCAGCCATAACAGCAGGCTCGTGGAAATATTAGTTGATTGGTTGGTCAGTTTTTTGTTGTTGTTTTTTTGCTTTATCTTTATTTCCAGAGGACTAATGGTGGAAAATAGCCCCCCCCTGCATTGTCATCATTACACTGACTTTGGTGGTTTTAAGTCTCTTAACAACCATCAGTTTGTCATAAAGTTTTGCTGCAGACTTTTCAGCTCGACTCTGGACTGTAGTCTTGTTAAATGTTGCACACACCACCCATTTGGCACCCACACCAGTCAAAACAAGCCATGCAATGCCTGAAAATCCAGTTCGACTGAAGCTAAGTGTCTATAGATTTTAACTCGGATGATCAATGCTAAGTGATGACTGATTATAATACTATAAACCTTTGCAGAATTGATTGCACCAAGAAGAAGCACTAAAAGGACCGTCTGTAATGAAGTACTGCAGCTTGAGAGCACTTTGGGATGATTTAGGCTATTTAATGGGCCTCAAGCACTAAACGCTTCCAGTCAATTATATTATTGGGCAACGAGTCTGATAAAAATAAGTAAACCCTGTGTGGATCGCACTGTAAAAATTGGACAATATGAATTAAGTATAGATTTAGGCAGTTAATAATAATCATTAAATGCAGGTATAAGAGCGAACTATTCAAACCCACTCTCTAGATTTCTGTCCATATAGATGTAAATTCCTTTCTTTCCAAAGTAAACACTCGATACTGCGTATCATAGACGTCGTTCTTGTTCTCCCCAAAAGCCCTGTTTAAGTGTCAGGTCTCCCTCTAATTTACAACAATCAACATGCTTGAAACGAAAGCCTTTTGTTTACTCTTAGCAACCACAAACCCACAGCCATTTTTATTTTTCCACAAGCCGGATGTACTGTTTTACTGCATTAACATCCTTTCAAACTTTTAAAAGCTCACACGGCGGTCTGAATGTATTGCCCTGTGCAGAAGCAGAACAGGTACATGTATAGCCTGTCTCAGGTTGTAAATGACATCCAGTTTCGTTTCAGTTGTTGAGATATGGGTTGACTCGGGTCATGTGGTTTGCATGTACATGATGCTGCATGGCAGCGCACATTGTATGACCAACGCAGAGGCCTCTGCAGATCTGTAATTCCTGCTGACTGGCACGCTGGTTCAACCTTCTGAAAAACCTGAACTGTTAACTGCGTTGTGTGGCCGTCTTTTTCTACAGCTGTGCTGTAATTATGCCTTCTTGAAAAGCCAATTAAATTTCACATATGTTCAGAAATGCCGTCTTTTGGTTTATTCTAAATGTTAGGGCAAACAGATGTAGGCACAGATGGGAAATGTTGCATAAATCATCCCTTTTGCTCTAAAAATAAGGACTCATATCGCATATGAAGGCCAGCTTCAAAATTAAATCAGATTACAGAGTTATTCAGCATAAATCAGCAAAAGATAAAAATAAAAAGTTTGTCATGTATTCACTTTATATGGTTCTCACATCCAGAGAACCTCAACATACTTTATTAAATACATCTGTCTGACTGCAAGTAAGTGCAAATTACATCGTATGGCAGCAACTCAGTGCATCTACACTTGTAGGAAGAAAGGTGACTTTGGAAGTGGCCGAGTTGTTGGTGCCAAACATCTGATATTTTAGAAACTGTTGATCTTCTGGGATTCTCCCGACACAACCATCTTTGAAACTGGCCCGTTACCTGAGAGAAAATCCCTCGTTGATGCCAGCGGTCACAGGAGGATAGCCAGGCTGCTTTAGCTGATAGGAACGCAACAGTAACTCAAATAACCACAAAGGTATGCAGAAGAGTGAAGTCTGAATGCACAGCATGTTGAACTTTGAAGCAGATGAGCTGCAGCAGCAAAAGACAATGCCCGTGTCACTTTTGTCATCTACGAACAGGAAACTGAGGCTATGGTTCAGAAAACTGGAAAAATGCTCCCACGAGGCTCAATTTCTGCTGCAACATTTGGATGATGAATGAACCAAAACAAAACATGAAAGCATGGATCCATCTCGCCTTGTATCAACGGTTCAGGCTACTGCTGGTGATGTAATGATTTTTTTTTAGCACACTTGGTCCCTTTGGTACCAACTGAGCATCATTTAAAGGCCACAGCCTGCCTGAGGTTATTTAAGACTCTATTTCAAACACAAAGGACAAACTAACCAAGTATGGCAACTTAGCTTGCAATGTTCAGGTTTTTGTGTAATGCTGAGGAACCCAATTATTTTGCTGTCCCCTCAAAAGGTGTAGAGATTTTTATTATAATGTGTTAGCAGAGTGCTTTTGTTGATGCCCACTGCTGATCTTTTTCTTTTATTTTTGGCTTAAGGTAAAGTTGTGTCTTAAATGAATGAACATTTCCACTTTACACACATGTGGCTGTCGTGTCTGCTGGGATCTGGACAACACAGTGCTCAACAAACCAAATGACCTATGAACGTTTGACCACCTCCAGCTCTCTGTCTTGCACTCTGTCTCTTGCTGTTTTCCAAAGTTTATGACAGGTTTGGAAAGGAAGGAGGAATTTCAGTGTCTTTGGAGAAACTAGGGCCTCTATAAATCATATCTGTTTGTGAAATGTGCAAATATTGGATATAGTATCCCCGCCTTCAAGCATATTTACACTGTTTGAATGCAAATGCAAACCCATGTGTTGTTACGAGTCAGGCCTCACATTACCCACGAGTAGCAGCAACTATTGGGGAAGAGTTCAGTGTCATGCACACACTTACAGCTTCAGACTCCTACGAATACAACGTCACAAACAGGATTTTCGAGCTCAGGTGAAGATCTGCCGTGCCCAAAACACACACATACAAACACATGCTTGGCATTACACTGAATCAGTGATTGTTACTTTAAGAGCTGCTGCTGGGAAAGACAAAAATGAAAGCGCCTGTGTTAATTACACATTTGTGTAGCTGGACACAAATACTAGAAAAATCTCACAGCGTCTATATAAAAGGTGACTATTCAGAGAAAGCTCTACAACAAGCAATAACAACATCACATGTGAGGAGTTTCAGCTCTGTTTGGTTTTGTGGCGCTTCTGCATTTGAAAAACCGACACAGACTGTCGTGTTGACCGCGCGCTAACTTTCACTTCTAGTAATGCGTCCGAGCATCTGTCATGAACGTGAGCCTGTCACACAGGAGTAACGCTAATGGCACAAACTGCTCGAGTATCAAATCGGGGGCCACAACTGACACAACAATATGTGACGCACATCATAATGACAATGCTGAGCTGTTTCATTACCTGTTTAATTAACTGTTAATGTATTTCATATATTTATATTACTGACAGAAAACACACACACACACACACACACACACACACACACACACACACACACACACACACAGATATTTGCATTGTTAACGTCCTTTATAACCAAGAGAAATAATACAGAAACATCATCTTCTTCACTCTGACTTCCTCAGGATTCATCTGAAAATATTTGGTACTTAATGCTCGTGTGGTGCTTCTCTTTACTTTCTAATGACTGACTTACTGCGAGTGTACGGCTGTGAACGGCTTAAACTGCAAGGTTGGAAGCATTGTAGTGATAAAGCACATAATTCTCTTTGACTCTGTCTCAGCTGGCACACCCAGAATATGCTTCGTGTAAAAACCTTTTAAATTCCTTTTCAAAGCATCATAACTTTATCTAATGTCGCAGCTCTGGTGGAAGATACTTATGAATGAATCCACATGTCTGCAGACTTGAACAACTAGTGTAGAGGAGTGAAAGCACATTTTGTTGGAGCACTTCTGCAAACTGTCTGTTGAAAACAAAAAAAAAACCCAAGGAGGACTGTGTGACCACCGAGTGTGTGACAGCGGTAAAAATAGTGACTCACAGTGTAACCAAAGCAGGAAGGATGACTCAGAAATACTGGACTTCAAAGGTAAAGCAGCACAAACAAAAAGCGCTGCATATGTTACGCCGGTGTTGTGGACCGGCGTAACGTTGTGTAACATGAATTTCAGAACTGACGACATTTTACTTTTACTTCTACTGACAAAATGCAGCTCTTAAAAACACACACGTGCTCACAGAGACATGCAACAGTGTGAGAACATGTTTTCATTTGCTCAGGCATGTCGCCTAACAGCCGACTCACTGCATATTTGTACCAAATTAGAAGCTGGTGTACTTTGCATTGTGTCATACCTACTGAGTCACGGGATTCGTTTTTAATATTCTGGGAAAATATTTTTTAATATGATTATACATCCATACCAGGTTTTGCAGCTCCGCATCCATGACGTGAATCTCCTGTTCTACCACATCGTAAAGGCGCTCTGCTGGATTGAGAACTGGTGGCTGTGGAGGCCGTTTAAGTGTCATGTTCAAGAAAGCAGTCTGAGATTATCTCAGCTTTGTCACACGGCTTATTACCCTGAAGGAGGCAGCCATAAAAACATGGGCACACTGTGGTCGTACAGGGACAGACACGTCAGCAACTATTCCCAGGTGTGGTGGTTAAATGAAGGTCGTCTGGTCCAAAGGGCTCTGAAGTGTACTGAGAAGTATCCCCTACACCATCATGCTGCCACCATCAGCCTGAACCATTGAAACCAAAATGAAAGATCAAGGTTTTCATGTTGTCTATGCTCAGTTCTGACCCCACTATCTGAATGTTGCAGCTGAAATCAAGACTCGTCAGACAAGACGGGATTTTTCCGACCTTCTTCGGTGAGCCTGTGTGACACGGAGTCTAACATTCCTGTTCTTATCTGACAGGAGTGGCACCCGGTGTGATCTTTGCACATCTGCTTTATTTGCATTATTTGCATTGCTGCTGCCTTCCTATCATCTCATACCAGTCTGGTTTACTCCTCTGGCCTCTGGCAAGAAAGCATTTTCACCCTCTCACTGGACATTTTATCAGTTTCAGGATGATCTCTGTATACCTTAGAGACCGTGTGGGAAAATCCCAACAACCACGTAGCATTCAGCGTCACTTAAATCACCTTTTTTCCTCATTCTGGTGGATTTCAGCAGAAACCTTTGACACTGCTGGCATGCTTAAATACCTCGATTTGCTATCATGTTATTTGCTGATTAGATATTTGCATTTGTGAGCAGTTAAAGAGGAATACTTAACAAAGTGGGGGAGTAATTTTAATGTCTGTCACAGTTTTATTAAATGTTTATCCAGCAGTTTTTACAGCAAAAACACATTAAATGCAGATTTATGTAAAGATTCTGTCTGTTGCATGAAAAACAAATGATTTTGTCTGAACATGGGGATGTAGTCGACGTGCAGCGTGTTTCATTCACTGCTAGAAAACTCAGTCATTTACTCATTGACTGTATTTAAGTACAGTTTTGAAGCATTTGTGTTTACGCCACTTGTGTTTTTACTGCAATTAGTTGCTTGTTGTTTGGTAGCCTGTTAACACAAAATATGGTACAGAAATAAGTTAGGATGCATTTATATACAGCAGGGCCAGGTTAGATAAAGATCCCAGTGGATAAACTATCTGGGTGCAAAGTAGTTATATGTAGTAATATGATACACATCCATCATCCTCTTCACTTTCTTCCCAATCTTCATCAGTGTCAAGGTGGGCCTTGGGCTTCCAGTCCCCCCATTCAGCAATGGCTTCATCCTAACCATGATGGTCAAGCTGTGCACTAGAATAGAATAGAATAGAATAGAATAGAATAGAATAGAATAGAATTCACTTTATTGTCATTGCACATGCACAGGTACAGGGCAACGAAATGCAGTTTGCATCAATCCAGAAGTGCTTTAGTGATATAGATATATTACAATATATATTAGCAATACTATAGATATGTAAGTATATTACAGAAATGGGTCTATTATGGTATGTTATAATGTACACGGTATGAAGTATGTTATGAATATGCTATAACTATAAGTATGTACAGGCTGTAGTGAGTGCAAGCTATGTACAGGATATAATATGAAATAAATAACTTTACAGAATCTGAGATATATAGTTATACAGAAATGGGAACTATGCAAGTTGTAAACAGTTGTGGGATTAAAAATTATCGTATGTACAGAATGATTATTTACACAGAGCTATACAGTAGTGCAGTTAAGATAAGTGAGATATAATTCCTACAGAGGCTATAAAGTGCTGGTGGTTGTGAGTGGTGGTTCAGTCCATGTTGTTATTATTGTGTGTATGAGGGTACAGTTGTCCATTGTGTGTGTGTGTAGGTGGTTGTGTGTGTGTGTGTTCAGTCCATGAGTTTAACGTGGGTCAGA